GGGAGGCTGCATATCCAACACTACTTTTACCTTTTCTGGGTTAGCCTCTATCCCTCTGCTATTAATTATGAAGCTCATAAATTTTTTTGCTGACACCCCACAGGCACACTTAGCTGGGTTGAGCTTCATCTTGTATTCTCTCAGGACCTGGAACGACTCTGCTAGGTGTCCAATGTAGAGCTCTACCTTCAGTGACTTGACCAACATGTCGTCAATATAGACCTCCATGGAGGTCCCAATCTATTTTTGAAACATCTTATTCACCAGGTGCTGGTAAGTGGCTCCTGCATTTTTTAACCCGAAGAGCATCACTTGATAGCAGTATGTCCCTTGCTCAGTTATGAATGAGGTCTTCTCTTGGTCACTGGGATCCATCCTGATCTGATTGTACCCAGAGAAGGCATCCATGAAACTGGGGAGCTCATGTCCCGCAGTGGCATCTACAATCAAATCTATCCAAGATAGAGAAAAACTATCTTTCGGGCAAGCACGGTTGAGGTCTATGAAGTCAATGCAAAGGCATCATTTGTCATTTGTCTTCTTGACTAGGACTAAATTGGCTAGCCAGACTGGGTAATCCACTTCTCGAATGGCTTTTGCGTGAAGAAGCTTGCTGACCTCTTCGTTGATGGCTTTCTGACGCTCCGGGGCGAAGCTCCTCCTCTTCTGCTTAACGGGCTTACAAGCTGGATTCACGCTGAGCTTGTGAGTGATGAAAGAAGGATCAATCCCTTTCATGTCCTCTTGCTTCCATGCAAAAACTTCCTTGTTCCTTTTTAGAAATTGGATGAGGAGATCCTTGATCTCCTTGCTCAGCTTGGATCCAACGTAAACAAGATGCTCTGGCTCCTCATCAATTTGAACAGGTTTCAGCTCTTCTGATGGTGTTGGCCTGGTCTTGAGTTCATCCCTCATGTCAAGCTCATCCAATTGGATGCTCTGAACCTCCTTATTTCTCATGGATGTCATGTAGCATTCCCGTGCTACGTGTTGGTCTCCTCGGACCACTCCAACTCCGTTTTCTGTCATAAATTTTACTACAAGGTGATAGGCAGAGGGAATAGCCCTTATAGAATTGAGCGAGGGTCTTCTAAGGAGCATATTGTATGCTGAAGGTGTATCAACTACTAGGAATNGAACCTCCTTATTTCTCATGGATGTCATATAGCATTCCCGTGCTACGTGTTGGTCTCCTCGGACCACTCCAACTCTGTTTTCTGTCAGAAACTTCACTACAAGGTGATAGGCAGAGGGAATAGCCCTCATAGAATTGAGCGAGGGTCTTCTAAGGAGCATATTGTATGCTGAAGGTGTATCAACTACTAGGAATTTCACAGTTGTTGTAGCCTGACAGGGTGGGTCACCTAAGGTCAAGATGAGTTGGATTGACCCCAGGGGCAGCACCCTTTCTCCTGAGAATCTCAATAGGTGGGTACTTACTGGTTCAATTTTTTCCCTTCCTATATCCATTTTTTCAAAAGCAGAAGCAAAAATGATGTCTGCCGAGCTGTCATTGTCAATTAAAACACGATGGACAGTCCTATTGACCACCACAGCTCTTACCACCAAAGGGTCATTANTACTTACTGGTTCAAGTTTTTCCCTTCCTATATCCATTTTTTCAAAAGCAGAAGCAAAAATGATGTCTACTGAGCTGTCATTGTCAATTAAAACACGATGGACAGTCCTATTGACCACCACAGCTCTTACCACCAAAGGGTCATTATAGGGATGTTGGCAGCCCTCCAGATCTGAATCTGAGAAAGTGATAGATGTGTCTAAGCGTGGAGACTTGGACACGGTATATACTTCGGGAGCTTCTATGGCTCTAATTTTTCGCAAGTGGGCCTTTCTGGAAGAGCTGGATCCTCCTGCTCCGACAAATCCTCCTGATATCACTCTGATCTCCCCCATAGGTTGCTGGTGTGGCTCTGGTACTTGATTCTGAGGGGGTGGAGGTGGGAGAGCTCAGTTTTGATTATCATTAGCCGCATAGCGTCGTAGCTGCCCTCACTGGATTAGAAATTTCATTTCCTTCTTCAATTGGATATAGTCGTCGGTGTNTCTGAAGGGGTGGACGTGGGAGAGCTCAGTTTTGATTATCATTAGCCGCATAGCGTCGTAGCTGCCCTCACTGGATTAGAAATTTCATTTCCTTCTTCAATTGGATATAGTCGTCGGTGTGATGACCATGGTCTCTGTGGAAGTCACAATACTTCGTAGGATCCCTTTTTGTCAGGTATGCTTTCATCCGGGGTGGCGACCTTAAAAACTTCTCATGTTGCACCTCATACAGTATCTGAGACACTGTAACAGTCATAGGGGTGAGTTGTCGGGGTGCATATCTCGNCATACAGTATCTGAGACACTGTAACAGTCATAGGGGTGAGTTGTCGGGGTGCATATCTCGGTTGTAGCTCTGGTTGTGGAGGGCCGAGGCGATCCCTGACATTTCCTCTTCTCTTCAGGGAATGCTCTCTGTTCCTTCTTGGAGACTTGCCTCGTTCTCTTTCTTTTCTAGGACTTCGTTCTCTCTTCTTTTCTTCCTTCTCGACGAAGAGCTCCCAACCTTGGAGAGGAGCGCTTCCTCACCATTTATGTACTTTTCTGCTTTGGCAAGCACCTCCGCCATACTAGCTTAGGGGTTCTTTGAAGTGGAAAACATCAGATCTTTTGAATGAACTCCCAGACCTGCTATGAAGGCTGTAATAGCAAATTTTTCATCTGGGACATCCACTTTCAAGGATTTTGAGTTGAACCGTTGGACATAAAATCGTAGATTCTCATCAGGTCCCTGTTTCACATTTAACAAATGGTAACTCGGTTTCCTATAGGTCCGAGCTCCGATGAAATGGAACACAAATGAGATTGACAGCTCTTTAAAAGAGGAAATCGAGGCTGGAGGGAGTCTGTTGAACCATGCTAAGACTGACCCCTTCAGGGTGATAGCAAAGGCCTTGCATCTCACTAGATCTTGATATCCATGCAACTCCATTTGATTTTTGTAGGTGTTGAGGTGGTCCACGGGATCCTTCATCCCATTGAAAGCATCTACCTGCGGCATTCTGAATTTATGTGGGAGAGGAAAGTGCATCACTCTAGCAGTGAATAGGGATTCAGTTTGCTGCACCAAGACATCCATAGTGACTAGGGCCTTGCTCTTCACTGCCTCCTTCATCTGGCTGAGTTCTTGCTGGATGTCTTTGAAACATTGCTCCTAGTGATGTTCTCTTATCTCCTGTTGATAAGGGAAGAAGTCGTTCCTCTCCCCTTCTTTATACTGACTTTGCATTTCCTCATTGTGACCATTCCTAGGGGGTAGGTGAGGTTCTTGCCTCAAGGTCTGGCNAACATTGCTCCTAGTGATGTTCTCTTATCTCCTGTTGATAAGGGAAGAAGTCGTTTCTCTCCCCTTCTTTATACTGACTTTGCACTTCCTCATTGTGACCATTCCTAGGGGGTAGGTGAGGTTCTTGCCTCAAGGTCTGGCTATTCTCTCCCACCTCATTAACTTCTCTGAGGGGTTCGAGATACGGTTGCTCCCTTGGTAGTGGATTATTCTGGCCTCCTTGGGCCGATCGCGCCTCCTGTGGGCGTTGTAAGAGCTTTAAGAACTCTTCGTTCTATTTTATTAGACATTCATTGACAAGACGAAGGGCCTCCATCTCATTATTCATGGAAAGGCCCCCCATGAGGGGATCTGCTTCTTGTGCATTTTTGGGTTGTCTGCTATTTGCGGCTTCCTGTTGATCTTGCATCCATAAAGGATTGGTCTGACTTCAGCTCATGTTTCGCGTTGATACCATCAGTCACTGAAAAATTAGCTTTATTTGTAACAGGAACAGCCGTTCCCACAGACGACGCCAAATTGATGGCGTTAACACACTTTTATAAAAGATGGGCTGGGATTCCATTAGGTTGCTATGATGATGCAATAATATCCAGGGCTTTGGAAGTTAAGACTACAAAATTATAGTGGTTCACCAGCTCGGGAGCTCGGCTAGTCCACTCTGGAATGGAGGCTCTTGCTCCTTTTGTTTCATTCACAGTGATTACAAGGTTGCTATGGCTTCTTGTGCCACTAGGGTTCCCCCCCCCCCCTGTTAGGAGGTGTTACATTGCATTTATAGGGTCATTCCCTGTTAAGTGGGATCCTGACCGAGATTCTTGCCCTTAATTTGTGGGGTTCTCCCTAACTTTAGGAGAAGATCTTGGTTGGGTGAGATTAGGTGTCTTCATTATAGCTTCCTAACGTTTTAGGAACCTCTCGTGATTATCCAGTTGTTGCCTTGGTTGTCATTGCCATTGCTTATCTCGAGGGGACCTCCAGCTCTACTCTTCCGAGTTCTACTTGCCTAATCTGACCTCCTGAGCTGGCACTTGGGATTTATTTTGAGGTATCATCAGATTTCAAATCTAAACTTTCTTTTAGATGAGTTGAGGGTTTTTGTTTTGAGTGATGGTTNATTTGTGGGGTTCTCCCTAACTTTAGGAGAAGATCTTGGTTGGGTGAGATTAGGTGTCTTCATTATAGCTTCCTAACGTTTTAGGAACCTCTCGTGATTATCCAGTTGTTGCCTTGGTTGTCATTGCCATTGCTTATCTCGAGGGGACCTCCAGCTCTACTCTTCCGAGTTCTACTTGCCTAATCTGACCTCCTGAGCTGGCACTTGGGATTTATTTTGAGGTATCATCAGATTTCAAATCTAAACTTTCTTTTNTCTTGGTTGTCATTGCCATTACTTATCTCGAGGGGACCTCCAGCTCTACTCTTTCGAGTTCTACTTGCTTAATCTGACCTCCTGAGCTGGCACTTGGGATTTATTTTGAGGTATCATCAGATTTCAAATCTAAACTTTCTTTTAGATGAGTTGAGGGTTTTTGTTTTGAGTGATGGTTTCGAATCCTATCATTTTGATTTGATAGGAAACATGGATGGGGATATACCTAATATAAAGAAATGGATTGTGTTCTACCCAATTTACATAAATTCAAAGAAAATGATTGCTGAGGGTCGGTGGATTAATGCTAGCAAAGCATGTGAAAACCCTACTTGTGTTGAGATTGGTGATTGTTGTAGCTACCTCAAACTCCCTTTTGCTATTGAGGTTTGATTTATCAATGTTATTTGNATGGATTGTGTTCTACCCAATTTACATAAATTCAAAGAAAACGATTGCTGAGGGTCGACGGATTAATGCTAGCAAAGCATGTGTAAACCCTACTACTTGTGTTGAGATTGGTGATTGTTGTAGCTACCTCAAACTCCCTTTTGCTATTGAGGTTTGATTTATCAATGTTATTTGAATTTTTATTCGTTTTTTTGTAGTGATTAATTGATGTTTCATTTCCCAGCTTTTTATCCTTCTTTATGTGGTTGATTGGGACCAATTTAGGGGACTATGGGTTGGGAAAGCTCTCATGTTTGATAATGTGTTCATGGATCTTTATTAGATTGATAAGGCGTATCCGCGTGATTTTATGCAAAGAGGGAGGGTGAGGGTTTTGCTGAAAAAGGAAGATGGGACTCTATGCAATCCAGTTATATCTTCTAGTAAGTAGTCTTCTTCATNCCAATTTAGGGGACTATGGGTTGGGAAAGCTCTCATGTTTGATAATGTGTTCATGGATCTTTGTTAGATTGATAAGGCGTATCCGCGTGATTTTATGCAAAGAGGGAGGGTGAGGGTTTTGCTGAAAAAGGAAGATGGGACTCTATGCAATCCAGTTATATCTTCTAGTAAGTAGTCTTCTTCATTTCCTTAGGTTTTTCCTCATGTTCTTAGTTTTCAGTTCCTTTGTTGGAATGTGTTGTTCTCTTAAGAGACTAGATCACCCTAACTTGGTTGTTAGGGAAATGTAACTACTATCATATACTTTGAAAGGAGGCATTCTGGTGGGTGATAATGTTTGAATTACTTTCTTTTTCTTGAGTTCCAAAAGTCGACTCAAAATATTTGATCTTTGCCAATGCCTTTTGAGTACTTGCATGGTAGTGCCCCTATAATGATCTATTGCAAGAGATTTATTTTGTGTGTATGTATGTGTGTTTTGAAAGGAGAGAACTAGCACATAGGGCTCAAATGCAAAGTACTGATTCTAGATTCACGGGTAAACTAACTGCGGTTTTGTCAATTGCTAACTGTTGTATTCATATTTCTGGCCACAACCAAGATTTGAGAGTTTTTTAATGTGATTATTTTAGTTCTTGCTCCTGGGTGGTATTTTGAGTCCTTAATTTTGTTTTTGAAATATCTATGATCAATTGCAAGGATTACTCCAAGTTTGCATGTATTTCATTGAGCATGACAAATCGAAAATTCAAGATTCAATGTGATCACTATTGTTGAAATTCTCATCTGCATGATGATTCTGACCATTTCTTCAAGACTTGGAGATTCCATTTAGGGTCATTTTTTGTCAACCATCCTTTGTTTGGCTAAGATGGGCCTTTGTTCAGGTCCATTGTGCATAAAACTCATTCTCCTTTATCATCCTTAGATTGCCCTCAACCTATGCACGAACCAGGATTCTTTTGGTGCTTGTCTTTCTTGAGCTTGCACAAGGAAGAATTGTTCTACTCAAGTACCGTTGTTTTGCACTAGTACTACCCACTTGAACCATAAAACCATTTAGCATGGGATTAATGAATCAATAACTAGATTGGGAGCCACTTCACAGCACTGCATTCTAATTCCTAAGCCATGCATTCACACTTCTGAAGGAATCTGTGGGTCGTGGTTTTTTAGAAGTAAAAGTGATTCCCAACTGTAACTGATGTTTGGCTCAGCACATCATCTAGCCAAAGTATGTTAATCATTCATGTCTTTTCCATGCCCTAGTGATTTGGCTGTTATTGTATTTTCTAATAGGTGAATTTTATATATTTTTTCCTCGTGGCTTTATAAATAAACATCGGGATTATGTTGCAGGGAAACAACTGATTCTCCATGTTGCCGAGTTGGTTCCGAGACACCTCGGGAGGACTAAGAAACAGGAACCCACATCCACCTCGACTGCTGCACCTTCCAAGTCTGGGAAGGGCGGTAAAAAGAAGAGATAGCTTCAGTATTGCTAATGAATTTTGGCTTTTCTTTCTAACATATCACCTTCAGCAAGGGATTTTGTTAATTTCTTTTCATGTTCTAGACTAGGCAAGAGTTGTGAAATCCAAGCGCCAGCTGGTGCAATGTTCTTTCCTGGATTTAAACATAGGATATAGAGATTCAGTGCTACCTGTAACTTAAAAGGCATCTTGTCACTTGTTCCTTTTTTGGGGGTTCTAGTTTCTTAATGAGTTNCCAGCTGGTGCAATGTTCTTTCCTGGATTTAAACATAGGATATAGAGATTCAGTGCTACCTGTAAGTTAAAAGGCATCTTGTCACTTGTTCCTTTTTTGGGGGTTCTAGTTTCTTAATGAGTTGTAATTCTTTGTCATACTGTTTTACATCAGTTGAGCAATACAAGATCTTTGAGTTGCCAAATGGTGGTTATGGACTTGCATTAGATGAAAAATGATATTTAGTTTGTGTAGGANGGCTTCCTGTTGATCTTGCATCCATAAAGGATTGGTCTGACTTCAGCTCATGTTTTGCGTTGATACCATCAGCCACTGAAAAATTAGCTTTATTTGTAACAGGAACAGTCGTTCCCACAGACGGCGCCAAATTGATGGCGTTAACACACTTTTATAAAAGATGGGTTGGGATTCCATTAGGTTGCTATGATGATGCAATAATATCCAGGGCTTTGGAAGTTAAGACTACAGAATTATAGTGGTTCACCAGCTCGGGAGCTCGGCTAGTCCACTCTGGAATGGAGGCTCTTGCTCCTTTTGTTTCATTCACGGTGATTACAAGGTTGCTATGGCTTCTTGTGCCACTAGGGTTCCCCCCCCCCCCTGTTAGGAGGTGTTACATTGCATTTATAGGGTCATTCCCTGTTAAGTGGGATCCTGACCGAGATTCTTGCCCTTAATTTGTGGGGTTCTCCCTAACTTTAGGAGAAGATCTTGGTTGGGTGAGATTAGGTGTCTTCATTATAGCTTCCTAACGTTTTAGGAACCTCTCGTGATTATCCAGTTGTTGTCTTGGTTGTCATTGCCATTACTTATCTCGAGGGGACCTCCAGCTCTACTCTTTCGAGTTCTACTTGCTTAATCTGACCTCCTGAGCTGGCACTTGGGATTTATTTTGAGGTATCATCAGATTTCAAATCTAAACTTTCTTTTAGATGAGTTGAGGGTTTTTGTTTTGAGTGATGGTTTCGAATCCTATCATTTTGATTTGATAGGAAACATGGATGGGGATATACCTAATATAAAGAAATGGATTGTGTTCTACCCAATTTACATAAATTCAAAGAAAACGATTGCTGAGGGTCGACGGATTAATGCTAGCAAAGCATGTGTAAACCCTACTACTTGTGTTGAGATTGGTGATTGTTGTAGCTACCTCAAACTCCCTTTTGCTATTGAGGTTTGATTTATCAATGTTATTTGAATTTTTATTCGTTTTTTTGTAGTGATTAATTGATGTTTCATTTCCCAGCTTTTTATCCTTCTTTATGTGGTTGATTGGGACCAATTTAGGGGACTATGGGTTGGGAAAGCTCTCATGTTTGATAATGTGTTCATGGATCTTTGTTAGATTGATAAGGCGTATCCGCGTGATTTTATGCAAAGAGGGAGGGTGAGGGTTTTGCTGAAAAAGGAAGATGGGACTCTATGCAATCCAGTTATATCTTCTAGTAAGTAGTCTTCTTCATTTCCTTAGGTTTTTCCTCATGTTCTTAGTTTTCAGTTCCTTTGTTGGAATGTGTTGTTCTCTTAAGAGACTAGATCACCCTAACTTGGTTGTTAGGGAAATGTAACTACTATCATATACTTTGAAAGGAGGCATTCTGGTGGGTGATAATGTTTGAATTACTTTCTTTTTCTTGAGTTCCAAAAGTCGACTCAAAATATTTGATCTTTGTCAATGCCTTTTGAGTACTTGCATGGTAGTGCCCCTATAATGATCTATTGCAAGAGATTTATTTTGTGTGTATGTATGTGTGTTTTGAAAGGAGAGAACTAGCACATAGGGCTCAAATGCAAAGTACTGATTCTAGATTCACGGGTAAACTAACTGCGGTTTTGTCAATTGCTAACTGTTGTATTCATATTTCTGGCCACAACCAAGATTTGAGAGTTTTTTAATGTGATTATTTTAGTTCTTGCTCCTGGGTGGTATTTTGAGTCCTTAATTTTGTTTTTGAAATATCTATGATCAATTGCAAGGATTACTCCAAGTTTGCATGTATTTCATTGAGCATGACAAATCGAAAATTCAAGATTCAATGTGATCACTATTGTTGAAATTCTCATCTGCATGATGATTCTGACCATTTCTTCAAGACTTGGAGATTCCATTTAGGGTCATTTTTTGTCAACCATCCTTTGTTTGGCTAAGATGGGCCTTTGTTCAGGTCCATTGTGCATAAAACTCATTCTCCTTTATCATCCTTAGATTGCCCTCAACCTATGCACGAACCAGGATTCTTTTGGTGCTTGTCTTTCTTGAGCTTGCACAAGGAAGAATTGTTCTACTCAAGTACCGTTGTTTTGCACTAGTACTACCCACTTGAACCATAAAACCATTTAGCATGGGATTAATGAATCAATAACTAGATTGGGAGCCACTTCACAGCACTGCATTCTAATTCCTAAGCCATGCATTCACACTTCTGAAGGAATCTGTGGGTCGTGGTTTTTTAGAAGTAAAAGTGATTCCCAACTGTAACTGATGTTTGGCTCAGCACATCATCTAGCCAAAGTATGTTAATCATTCATGTCTTTTCCATGCCCTAGTGATTTGGCTGTTATTGTATTTTCTAATAGGTGAATTTTATATATTTTTTCCTCGTGGCTTTATAAATAAACATCGGGATTATGTTGCAGGGAAACAACTGATTCTCCATGTTGCCGAGTTGGTTCCGAGACACCTCGGGAGGACTAAGAAACAGGAACCCACATCCACCTCGACTGCTGCACCTTCCAAGTCTGGGAAGGGCGGTAAAAAGAAGAGATAGCTTCAGTATTGCTAATGAATTTTGGCTTTTCTTTCTAACATATCACCTTCAGCAAGGGATTTTGTTAATTTCTTTTCATGTTCTAGACTAGGCAAGAGTTGTGAAATCCAAGCGCCAGCTGGTGCAATGTTCTTTCCTGGATTTAAACATAGGATATAGAGATTCAGTGCTACCTGTAAGTTAAAAGGCATCTTGTCACTTGTTCCTTTTTTGGGGGTTCTAGTTTCTTAATGAGTTGTAATTCTTTGTCATACTGTTTTACATCAGTTGAGCAATACAAGATCTTTGAGTTGCCAAATGGTGGTTATGGACTTGCATTAGATGAAAAATGATATTTAGTTTGTGTAGGTACTTCTGTTCATGGACTTAAAGTGGTAATGTCACACCCCCACCCCACATCACATAGGGTGGGTAGCGGACTGGCCACCAAGGTCTTAACCAACCATCCCTGTGCATAATAAATGTAAAATACAACGGAAGACAAATAATAAAGTGATCCACTCCACCGACCTAATGAATATCAGAGGAGTAAACTAACATCACCAACATTATTACTAAACTCATGTAAAATAATAATCAAACTATAAGGTTCACTACTCTAAGCATAAACAACATTGTTTACAAAATAATTGAATATTTGTCTCAAAACTATGAAAGACATTTTATTACTGAAAATATATGATAAAATAAATCTTCAATTTTTCTANCATTTTATTACTGAAAATATATGATAAAATAAATCTTCAATTTTTCTAATCCATTGTCTATCCAAGGACTTACTTCTCCTCCTGATTCTCACCTGAAAAAAAATGTTAAATGTTTGGGTGAGGACAAAGGCCCGTGAGCAGCAACCACCTCTAATGAGGTGTGAAAATAAATCTCACAGTTTATATACCAAAAATAAACTTGATATACACATAAATACAACAAATTGTACCTCAACCCCTCTCACATAATGATTTAAACAAAATGATTTTATGATCACAAATAACTTTATGAGTGAAAAGACATTTATAACTCAAAACACTTACACACATTCAATTCCAAATACATTTGTCAAATCATTTTTGTTACCACTAACCTAGTTACTGGCCCAGTCGCTTGTTACCATTTAGATCTGGTAACCCCAGTCTCAGTCGCTTGTTACCACTTAAACCTAGTAACCCCAGTCCCAGATGTTTGTTACCACTTAGACCTGGTAACCCCAGTCCCTGTCTCATAAACATGATTTTCACACACACCAAAACTGTAGTTTTAATCCCAACGCACACAAAATTTATCTTTCATCACCAAAGCAACGATATTAAAATTATCCCACAAGTTTTCCAAAATTCACATGTATAACAGTTCATAATTTCAAAACATTCAAATGCAACCCCAAACATCAACACACATATCATATATATGAAAAATTCACATGCACGCACCCACACATTCAATATAGAAAATCCTCCCAAAAGAAGTAGTAAATTACTTACCTTGATTTCTAAAATCCAATTCAAAGCACTCTTTCTCAATTTCAATGCAATCACCACCTAATCCAAAATAACATATAACAGTCAATCTTTTTTCCTAATCTCGTCGTTTCACGATTCTATATTTAATCTTTATACTTCTTACTCATTGATATATACTTAATATATCGTTTACATATAACTATCATTTCTAATATGAGATAATAGGGTATGGAAGTATTTTGGGCTGTTTGGAAAAATTTTCTAAAGTTCTGGGGTCAAATCATAATTTTTGAAACTTTTGGGACCAAAGTGTAATTTCCTTGAAAAACGAATTTTCTATTTTCGGGCTTGCCATAAATTTTCCAGAATTCTATTCTTGCAACTTAACAAATAAAAAGGTATTTAAAATTAAGTTTAGAAGAATGAAAGGGTCAAAATAAAATTTTTTAAAATTAAAGGGGAGTTTTTTATAATTTTTTTGGATTTGGTCATCTTCTTCCCGTGGCAGAACCTGAACTAATACTTTCTTTCCCC